TGTATCTTATGTTTCGTTTAGCCTCTATTATACCAACTGTAAATGTATAAATATTAAATTCAATGGATTCTCCAGTTTTATTTTTAGATGTGGAAATTAGTGAAGGGAAATTTGAGATTTAGTGCAAAATTCTCCTCATGTTTACAAGGAAATATGCTTTTGGATAAAAATCTGAAAAAATGAAATTGGCTCCTTCAGTAGTTTGGAACCAGTGAGTAAAAAGAGGAAAGAAATCTACCCCAAGTTATAAATGATCTAGGCACAAGCTTTCTACACATTCCATATTTTTAAAACTTCTGATCCAAATTACATCCTTCTTTCTTCTAGAGAATTTTCTTATTATAGATTAAAACAGTCAGGCTTCGTTTGATATTGATCTTTGCATTATGTTATATGTAAAACACGTACAATAATACAAAAGGATAAATCACCATACGAGAAGCAGTTTCAGCGTTAAAAGGCTATTACATCAAAGAACTTTACTAAGGAACTTGCGAGTCTGAGGTTCTCAAGTGATCGGATACTATGTAATGAAGGTTTAAATTGGTAAAGCTACCATAAATAATCCTCACGAAACAAGTCCTGAGAAAAAAGTATAAACCAGCTGAAAGGAAAAGTATGATTCAACTTATTTTGGTAAATCTTGTCAAACACTTTACATTAACACAGTATAATGCTATCAACATACTTTAAATGGTCAAATAGTCCCAATGTAACAATCTTCTGACGCCTCAGAACAGAAACCACAAACTATGCCAGTTAAATTATCCATTTGAAGGTATCACACATTCCCATAACTTTCTCACTATAAAGAAAAAAAAAAGTCATAAGAACCTACACAGTTGAACTAGTATTGGGATTCTTGAGAGTTGCTCTAAAACAATATGTAAAATCGCCGGGAAATACACTCAGGAAATATTACAACCATCTACATCTAATCAGTAAAAGGCTTTAACTTATCTTTTTCTTCTTCTTTGATGTATCTTCTTCTTTTTTATCTCTCAAGAGATTCGTCTGAGATTAACCAGGTATTCATGTGAACTGAACTTCTCTAAAATGCTCATGGCATCCCAAATTTGGACAGGGCTGACTGAAACAAATCCCAGAAGGCCCGTGATGTGCTTTCATCATCAGCTTTAATCTTTATCTGGGCTTTGGCTGATGATGTGTTAATTATACATTCCACAAGAAAATTTGACGCTACTTCTGCTTTTTGTGCAAAGAAGAAAAACTTGAAGTTGGGAGATTGACCGCCAGATGCGATGCAGTGGATAGAGTGGCCTACCATGTGCCGGAGGAGAGCTTGAGGCGCTGTCAATGCTGCAACTCCCCTAGGGCTAATCATATGCTCCTGCATGAAATTGAAAAGATCATCAATTGTTCACTTGGCTAAACATAAAAATTCCAACATAACTATCTTCACAGTCCCAAAACACAAATACTTGATGAAAAATACAGAGAGACAAATAATTAAAATGTTGAACCTTGAGATACAAATGTACTTACTGATTGGAATTAAGAAAAGTTAGAATGGGCTATTTTTAGTGATAGATTACATTATTTTAATTATTTTGATTATCATTTAGGCTATTTAAGAAATACAAGTTAGTTTAGTAAGCCTAAATTTGATTATGATGTAGTATCTTCAGCTTTTTTTTCGATTATTTACATTTTTCTTATTAGTTATAGTTAAGATCTCAATTAAGATGACAATTAGGACCTGCATAAAACCACTAAACTAGACAATAGAATACAAGATTTGAGTGTAGATCATTTGAAGGCTCTTAGCCCTTTTTACCTTCATTGTGTTCTTTATTCTTGAGTCTTATTCTTTCTTGCATACCTGTTCCATCTCTCTCTCCATATATTTCTCCACCTTAACCCTTTTTTTCGTGTCTTATGTCCATTCTTCTATACTCTAACATAAATTCCTGTAATTCTATTTTATCCAGGAAAAGTTGATATTCAAACTTAATTTGTCATGCATCGATTGCCACATCACAAGCTATGTCATTTATGCATGCAGGTGAAAATTTACAGGTTAATATTTTCACCGACTACCCTATTGTCTGCCAACATACTTACCAAGCAACGAGTAGTGGATAATTGTCTGTATGAGGAATAGCAAAGGGAGTGATTGCAGTATTAGTTTTAGATGCGCGTATACCCTAATGTATTCTGAAAGCCTGAGAACTAGGTGAAGGCACTTCAAACTTAACAAACAATTCTAAGCTCTGAACTACTAACCTTTTAGAATTAAACAGAAGTACAGCAAAAACAAGTACTGGCAGTAAAATTGAATTATGACAATAGCATTGAACCTACTAAGACTCTCCAACTGGATCAGTACTAGAATCGGGTAGAGTGAAGCCTGAGCACTAGGTTAGCACAAGACACACTTCACAAAAAGGATTGAAAAGAAAGGTAAAACATAAACTAGTATTGGCAGGTTATCACAGTAGCATCTGACCCACTAACACTTATCCCTAATAGAGAAGTACCAGAACCTTGTAAAGAAAGCAGAGAGCTAGGTTGAAATTAATATTTAAAAAATTAATTTAAGCTCTGAATTACTGAACTTTTAGGATTAAAAAAAGGCATATTAAAAAGTAATATCGACAGGAAAATTAGAATAATTGCAAATCACAATAATATCTGACCTACTAAGATTTATGTGGTGAAGTACCAAAATCATGAATGGGAAACCACAGGAGATACTGTCAAGAGCTTTAATTAAATTAAAAAAAAAAAAAAAAAACAGCAGCTAGCACCTTTCATTAGTATGTTAAACAGTTATAAGGACAGATCAGCAGGTGGAAGACTCAGCTATTTGTTTAGCATTTTATCAACGTTATTTTTAAATTTAAATCCTCTGTTATGTCAGTTTGTTTCAATTCTAATTTTTCCAGGAATATTTAGTTATATGGGTTTGTTTTGGCAGTTATCTCTGCCTCACTGTCGTGTAACCTACTGTTGTGTAAAATATGTAAGTGTTGATCAAAAAAATAAAATGGTACCCGTTAGAAAGTCCTTAGTAGTTTTCATACTCAGAGATTGTCTGTTCTCTCTTGATGAGCACAAATAATTTTAGTTAATGTAAGGCAGAAAAGAAAGAAGTTGTAGCAATCATAATTTACAAATCCTCTTTCAAATTTCTTAATTCTAAATCCATAACAAGATCCTAAAATAGGGACCATATTATTTGGTAACATAGCCTACTATTATAGAGATCTGGGACCTCTCCAGCAACAAGTTAAGACTTTTCTCAAAGCATACCAGGAGGATCAGGTACAAGAATGTCTTGAGGGGCAGTAAGTTACGCAAAATAACAAGAATTGATAACAAAGCTGGAAGAAATTTCCAGAATTTTTTTAAACACCCATTCATATTTTAGAGAGAAAGAGAAGATAGTGTTTACTGGGGAAGATGTGACTGACATCCCTAAACTGGATTGGGAAATGATCAGGCTGATGCTACTCTTGTGGCATCAAAATCCAAGAATTACTGATCAGACTGATGCACATCACAACTGCATAGGTGGACGTCAAATGGGACTTCAACATTTCCAACAACTATTGGCTGCACTTAAAACTTAGGTGTCCATGCAGATTATGAAATTCTGCAATAGTCTAAAGCAGGATAGGAAATTATTCTAGCAATAAAATGAGAGGTGGTTGCAGAAATTATTCTGGTCATGGACTCATGGGGAAGGAAATAAAAATTGTCATGGAAATAGTTGCAGGCCTCCTGGTTTCCCTGACTTCAGAAAGAAATTTATTTCGAGATTTTTACCACCCAAGGTTAGCTACAACTTTTTCGCTCCATCTTCTCAGCAAGATTATTTGGGATGGTATCTTTTGTGCTTGAGGACAAGTGCATTTTTGCAGGAAAGAGGGATATTATGGGCTTTAATCAGAACAGAGGAGCTAGTACTTTTGTTAGGATTTTAAACAATTGTAAGGGCAGAGCAGCAGATGCGAGATTCAGTTACCTATCTAAATTTTTATCTGTTTATGTTCACTTTTATTTTTAACTTGAAATGTTCGATTATACCATTTCTTTCTAATTTTTCTAAGATTTGTGTTGTCAGTTATTTCTGCCTTACAGGGCTGTAACCTACTGTTACGTGACCCATATAGGGTTTAATCAAAGAATAAAATGGTACGCATGAGCCCAAACCATTTTAGTCAAGATAAGGCAGAAAGGAAGTTGCAAAAATCATATTATTCAAATACACTTTCTAATTCCTCATCAAAAACCATAATGGGGTCCTAAAGTAGAGACCACAACAGAAACTTCAGGAATCCTATAAAAAATAAAAAAGAATACAGAACAATCAACTGAGATAATAATTTTGAAGTAAACCTGTGATAAAGATATTGATAGTTGCCGCCATTTCTGCTGAAAAGTGCCAGGGTCCAGAACAGCCTTGGGATTAAGTTTCAATGGAGGAGATGAATGAGTAGGTGCAGTTGGTACGCCCAGACCAAGCAGATCATCAATAGCCAGGCTAGACTGCGGGGCAGTACTTGGCACAGTGGGGTTTGAAATTGCCAACTCCTGTGAACCAGTAACTTCAGCAGATGAACTATCAATTAATGGAGCACTATAGGCAGAACCATTGTTGCTGGGACCACCACTGTCTTCTTTCTCCGAAGTACTTAGCAGCAGATCCTTGTCATCTGCCTCAACTCTTTGAGCTGGGAAAACATTGCCACCAGATTCTGCCCCAATAGACAAATTTTCAGGTTCATCTGAAAATTCAAAAGGACCCCGATGTTCCTTATCTGTGAACATATAAGATGGCTGCAAGTATTTCAAGTATCAGTTAAATTGAACAGGAGGACTTGCCAAAAATTATACCCTTCTAAAAAAGCATTCACTCAGCATCAACAACTAGAAGAAAACAGGACTTAGAAAGTAAAAAGACAAAACTACTAGTCATGCAAAAGATACACATGCAGGCACTTTATAAAACCAGTGTAAGTTAACTCCATAAGACAGCCTTAATGCATGGGACGGCAGGTGAAGTAAGCCCCAAGCAGCCAGTCCTTAAAGCATTAGAAGTTTCCAATTTTTGGAGTTGATGGAATGAACCAGCAAAATGGATTAGTTGCTAATAGTTGATGAAAAGGGTATAAAACGAGCAACACCTCCCATCCATACTTCTTTTAATTGAAAAAATAAAGTAATATTCAAAAGCGCCATCCCCTCCAACCCAACTGCAACCAAAATTTTAGAATGACTAACAAATCCAAAAAAAAAAACCATTTTTCTTTGCACGGATGAGTGGAAACGGAGAGATACTTCATGTCCACAGAAACTTAGGGGGCTGAAATTTCAAGCATGTAAGAATTTTAAGCCTCCATGTGATAGGCTATAAATATTATTTAGGTCCTATATTCAAATAGATAAGTAGGTCAAGTGGTCAAAATGCCTAATCTTACTACAAGGCTAAGCCTAACATACCTTATTTACAAAGCACAAGCAATGAATAGAGAGCTAACCAGATTAGGTGGGAAAAAAGTATAAATTGACTCAAACTAGAGTCTGAAAATGGATAAAATTTGGAAGCAAAAGACAGAAGTTAATGTGAAATAGAGGGGAGCAAATGCTTATGAGCAATCAATTCCATGTTCACAAGTAGCATACAATCAGCATATGGAAAGAGGATAATTATCTAAAGTAATATTCTTCCCATCAATTCTTTCCCTTTCTTTTTGATCAGTAATATCTCTGGTTTAAACCTCTTAAAACCAAGCTCCCAACCCGGCAATTGAAAAAAGAACAGGTCAAGTGTCGTTCGTCCAATAGCCATGAATTGTTTGAATTTGCAACCATCCAGAAGGAAAAAGAATTTAACTTACTTTCTGGTATACAACAGATAGGCTGTTAAACTCATCAAAAATACGATCTTTGATTTCGCTGCTTTGAGTATCAGCAAACACTGAAACTGCTTGTTTTGGAGGGTTTACAACATGTTCTGCTACAGATACCTTATATTGCAAAAGTCTATAGTAGAATAAGGCCCTATCATGAACATCCTGCAGTCAAATGAACATTTTATTGGGGATTCTTACAGAAAATGCTCAACAACTAAGTAAATTTGAAGCCGAAATTTGACCAGGGAAGTGAAAATTGTAGATCAAGTTATATCATACCTGGTGAAAATCAGCAATCCCAGCAGACAAAGCAACTCCCAAGGCTTTCTGAGTCTCGGGGGGCCTCTTAAAAAAGCACTTCATAACTGCAGTGAGAAGATGCAAACGAACCTGTCCAATGAGATAAAACACAACTTAGATAATGAAACAATAAAAAATAATCAAAAGTATGTTAGCTAATTAACCCAATTATTACCTTTTGGTCTTAACTATTCCAGTCAAGATTGCCAAAAAACTTGATATGATTCAATGTCGTTTTTTGCGGGGAGATAAGGAAAACAATAGAAAGTATCACTTAGTAAGATGGGAAAATGTGAAAAGACCTTTATCGGTGGGGGGGTCTTGGTTTGAGATCTATGGTGCAAATGAATAATGCATCACAAGGAAAATGGCTTTGGAGGGCGAGTAGGGAGGGGGACAGATTATGGAGGAGGGTGGTGGAGGCTCGATGGGGAGTATGGAGTGGGGGTGATAATAGGAGAGTTGCTGGAAAATTTCATCGCAGATGTCTCTGGAAGAAGATTGTCATGGGCAGGCAGGAGTTTATGAAATGTACAAAGTGGTGTGTTGGGGCTGGGGATAAAATAAGATTCTGCGATGATGAATGGGTTGGAAGTTGTAGACTAAAAGACAAATATCCAAGAATCTTTGCAATTGCACAGAATAGAAACATGTATGTAAGAGAGGTTTATATAGGAATTGGGGAGGATAGAGTTTGGAATGTACAGTTAAACAGAAATCTAAATGATTGGGAGATTAAAGACTATCAACAGCTGATGCGGATAGTGTCTCAAGCAAATATGGGAAATACTCCAGATTGTAAAAAGTGGACACTTGGAAAAGATGGTATTTTCGCTGTTAAATCATACTACAGACAATTAACTTTGGAAATGGGGGTCCCTGTACTTGATTTTCCATTCAAACAAGTGTGGAAGACTAAAGCTCCCCCAAGAATGACATTTTTTACATGGAAAGCTTGTAAAGGAAGTATTTTGACAATCAATATGTTAATGAGAAGAGGCAGATGCATGGTCAACCGCTGTTACTTGTGTAAAATGGAAGCAGAATCATGTAATCATCTGCTGTTATGGTGCCCGGTGGTGTATCGACTATGGTCCATGATTTATGGTCTGTTGGGAATAAAATGAGTCATGGCTGGATCTGTGAGTGATGAACTGTGCGCATGGGCAGAGCTATGTAAAAAGAAAAGTTACTTAATGATTATTCCTATACCTGTTTTTTGGGTTGAATGGAAAGAGAGGAAGACTAGAGCTTTTGATGGGGTCGAAAATGATTTTTCTAACATAAGGGATGGATAGATTTATACTTTTGATTTAATTTTTTTGGGTCATGACATCAGTGATATTGGTGTTGTAATGGACCAACTGATTGGGATGTAAACCTGTGGTACTCTCTTAGTACCAATGAATTTACAGTTCTTTTATTTTAAAAAAAATAAAAAATGAGACTAAATTTTCATAAATGAAGAAATCAAGCTTTAATTTATTAGCACATGACAGTTAACATAACGCAGTTCATCTGAAAATTGTGGAAAGGGTAGCTAATCCAAAGAGTGAGAGAATGGAAATTTTTACTAAAAAAAGGCTGTTCACTACCTCAGCTGAATACTCGACTTCCCAATTGTCAATTAAACTCTCTAAAACATAAGGAGCATCATGCATGTCCTGGGAATATTCTCCCAACATCCATATAAGAGCTGCCTTGGCCTTAGGCTCCTGAACATTTTTGCTGCTGATATTCCCGACAACGGCTATGCAATCATGACTCCATTGAGGATATTTTCTCAACAGATCTTTTACAAGTACCTAAAGAAAGAGAACCCCATGCTGTCATCAATATTCTTATATAACTCCACTATCAGATTATCAAGCAGGCCAAATACAGACATAATCATTACCAGAGCTTCAGCAGTAACATAGTCCTTTTCCATCTCCAAGAACTGAAGAAGTCTATCAACAATTGCATTCACATCATACTGCTGTAGTGCTATTTTGCCAACTGCCCGTATTGACTCTCTTGCGATAGGAATATCAACATTTGCGGCATACTCACAGAGTTCCGTGACTGAAGAGTCAAGAAATCATAAATCAGATACAATTAAAAAGGAAAAAACTCCTCATTTGCAACTCATGTTATGTTTTTCTCCTGAAAGACCTCATTAAATTTTCTTACCAATTTCGTAAGTGTTGCTCTCATTTGCCACTGCAGTCAGCATCTCAAGCTTCAATTTTTTGACATAAGAGGCTTCATTGTACTGGCAATAGAAATGTTTGTAGTCAGAGGCAAATATGAAAGGTGCACGCATCACCAAGAGATGGAGGTGGCTCAAAACTGCATAGGACTGCTCTGGGCTCCCGGAACTGACTAGGGTCAACAGAGGGGCTTTAATACGTTCATACACCTAACAAGAAAATCTGCCATCAGTAGCACAATTGTTTTGAAAATTACCCAAATTAACTATGTTATAACTAGGAATCCAAGATGAAACAAGTGAAATCGTGTTTTCTGCCACGAGAAAATTCCAAATCTGCTTTAACTGCAGCTTAAATGACAGGGGCAGAGTATCAAATTAAACTTGCCAAAATAATGAAGTCTTCGAGTAGTGCATTTGCATGGCATAAATGGACAACAAGCGCCACAAATCAAACCTTTTTCACAATAACATATTTATCATTGTGCAAATTAGATATCTATTTCACAACAAATAGACTGTCTTCCCAATTATATTATAGGCACCTGCTGATGCACATCAGTCATGGACATGGTCAACTGTAGAAATACTTTGATGCTTGCCAACACAACAGCACCATTTGCATGCTGAAGTCTATCTTCCAGGAGATTCATGATATCAAATATCTCATTGCTCTCTGAAGGTACATATTTTGCAACCAGCTCCAGAACAAGACATTGCGCCCATTCACTAAATTCTTTGATCCTGCATATAATAAAACATATCCCAAGGTTAAGAACTTTTCTTTTGCAGGAAAATTCCAGCACAATAATGTTGTTTCAGGTAGCTATCAGTTAAATTAATGCAGGTACCAAATTTCATTCTGGAAAATGCAACATGAGGAGAAAGACTAAAAAGTTTCAAAATTCAAAGCTAATATTTATGTAGCAGCAGAAATTATTGTTTTATTAATAGAAGGAACATTATTCTTTATGGAGCAATCTTTAGTTGCACCAACATCACATGCCTCTCTTTTCCATCTCTTTTTTGAAAAAAGAGTAAAATATTACTAAAGAAGAACACCATTCCAAGTGATAATGACAGGATCCTCCAGGCAGAACACAGAAAACAAAAGAACAAAAGAACAAACATCAGGACAGAATAGAAGCCCAATTCCTTTGCAAAGAAGATAAAGGCATCCCCAAAAAGAAGGTGTTGGGAACTTTCCCAAAGAAAAGCAGAGAAAATCACCCATCCCAAACTGTGGAGACAGTTGAAATTGATGCTTAAATTTCCTAGTATTCTATTCCACCCAAATGCTTAAAAATTGAAACAATTGCCCTAACAAAGCCTTCATCTCAATATAATTAGTAGAAAGTTATAATTGAAAAGTGAAATACCCTATCTGTAGGTAAACATTGAAATGCCAGACGACCAATGTAATTCCTATAACGTAAATAATTCATTACCAAGCATCTGCAAATAAGATTAATCAACTGAAGAATAGAGAAAAGAGCACATATGAACCTCTATTGACAGTCACGGAAACTACTGAAGTTTAAGCAATCAATGGCTAAAAGCTTTCTCACAGCAATGAGGGAGACTTGTTTTCAGTCATCAAGGCTTTCCTCCAACCCCTAGACCTAATCCATTAACTCATAGCCCTTACAGAACGTACCGATTCAAAAAGTAGTATACAACTGGCTTGCTAATCAAGGCTTCTCTCTCCCGAGATGCTTCCTCGGATGAGCTGGCTTCTGAGCTCCATATCTCTTGTAGAGCAGATAAACAATTTGCCACTACCTGATAAAGTACTTGCTTGAAAAATTTATTAACTGTTTAACCATAGAAATATTTTGTTGATTCTCCACAGGATTTAAACAGGTTCTAGAAATATGAAGTGCATTAAAAATAGTCGCTTGAAAACCTTATTAACTGTTTGATCATAGAAATATATCGTTGGTTCTCTATAGAATTCAAAGAGGTTCTTAAGATACATAGTGCATTAAACTAATCATGGAACTAACCTGGGTATCTGGATCATGGAGCATCAAATGCTTCAGGATTGCAGGAAAGTCAGCATCAACACATGTTGATGCAGAGATATGATACAACTTCAATACTCCAACAACTGCCACCATCCTCACATAGCTATTATTATCCTTCAACCCAGAACCCAGTGGCCCAACCAGATACTCTACTAGATTTGCCACTCGTAACGAACACAAGCTCCTTAGTGCAAGCCCACGGATCATGGGGTCCTCATCCTTGCAGTCTCTTTGAAGGAAATTGATTGTCAAAAGAGCAAGATCAGGGTTACCTTTTGCATAGTTTCCGACATATAGATAACACATTTTCTTCAGAACAATGTCTGAGGTTGCTGAACACATGACCATTTCACTGAAGACAGATGAGACATCAATACCAATTGTCATATATGATATCACCTTCTTGAAGAGTTCACGTTTGGAATCATCAACACCTGGAGCTCGGCTACCAGCAAGCTGCCGGAGCTGTAATTTCAAATCTGACACTTCACCTTTCCTGGAAAGTGACAGTTTTGTTTCCTTTTAAATAACAATATAGCAAAAAAGCACAAACCTTTTACGAGAATTTTTATTAGATCAACAAGACATCCATTTTTGTTTGATCGTAATATCTATAGAAGGAAACTTAGTAACCTAAATTAAAAATGTACAATCCAGGGATGTTAGCCGATGAAAAACATTTACTTCTTTAGCTCCAATCCAATTCAACTTCGGAAGTTTATAAATTCAGGTTTTTCTCTACTCTACTCCACTCAAATCTCCATGAACGTGCGGGGATCAATAGAAATTGTAAGTCCAAAAATTTAACATCAACTTCGAATTAGATTAACTATGAAAATATACATTCAGATTTTGAAGCAAAAACAACAAAACGAACAAAACTTGAGTACCACAGACTCGAGTATTTCATAACGTAACTAAGCCTGTACCAGCTTAACTTAGTCGATCACCATTAAGACCATACAAATTTCATAAACTGGTAGAGAATTCGTGAAATGGAAACAAAAAAGGGCCGAGCTAGAAACAATAGTCGTTACCCGGAAGGTTGCGACGGGGAAGGAGATCGCTGAGACGCAATCGGAGGAGCCATCGTCGACAGGATCCTAGGTGAACGACGGTTCTCCTAGCTTCAGTCAGACTCAACTGAAAGGTAAAGCGAGATCTATATCCGATCACGAGTTACACGCGAACACAGAGCATCGGCTTCGAATCTGAGAAAGAGTTGGAAGCAACGATAAAGTTACCGGTCGTGGCACCCAAGCTAAAGAAGAAACTTTGTTTTTTTGGATGGAGCAATTAGCTGAAAGTACAGTAGATTTTTTAAAATGTAAATTTATAAAACTTATTAATTAAATAATAAATATGTATATATTAATTATATCACAATTTTTTATGTATTATAATTTTTATATAAAAAAGAAAAATATTAACCAATTAACAAAAAAATTATTAGTAGAATGGTAAAATTAATTTGATTTAAGTTAATATTTTCAATTTTATCATAAAAATCATAATGAATTAAATTAAACAATTATTTTATTATATTAAATATATGTTTTATGTAAGAGGCCGAGCAAGTTTCAAATTCTCTAAAAAGTTAATTAGACTCAAATAGGAAATTAAATCTTGGACCAAGAAAGTAGTTTTGAAGGAAGAAAACAGAACTAATGATATGCTGAATGAGTTGGCTGAAATAGATATTTTGGCCAGCGATTTTGATATGCTTCCTGAACATGCTAAGAAAAGAAATAGTCTAAGCGAGGAACTTGCTAATAGACTGCATTTGAAAGTTGTATCATGGAACAGAAAACACGTAAAAAATGGATTAGAGATTAAGACAAGAATACAAAGTTTTTTCACTGTTTGGCGAATCATAGAATAAGAGTAAACTATGTGAAAAAATTTTCAGTTAATGGTCAATTGGTCAGCGGTAACGAAGTCATAAGAGAAGTTGCAAAAGATCGTTTCAGATCCTTATACCAAGAAATTGTTGAAAAATGGTCGAAAATCGATAACATACATTTCAACAAGATAAATGATGCTGACAGAACAACACTTGAAGCTGAATTCTCTAAAGAAGAAATTTACAATTGTTTAAAAGGGAGTTATGGTAACAAAGCTCCAGAGCCTGAGGGTTTTAATCTAAAATTCTTACAAGAATTCTTGTATGTGCTAAAAAATTACATTTTTGAATTTTTCAATGATTTCACAAGAATGACTCATTTGTCAAATCGATCATCTCTATTTTTCTTGTCTTGATTCCTAAAAAAGAATGAGCTAACAGCTTCACTAATTTTAGATCAACCAGTCTTGTAGGCAGTGTTTACAAATTATTATCTAAGGTATTGACTAGAAGACTCTTTAAAATATTAAATTTCATCATCGGAGACTGTAACAACCTAGTCCGAGGGAAACAACCCAACTAATCTACTTTTTAAAAGTAGAAAAAGCCAAAACGATGTCATTTTGATAAATCCCAAAACAACGTCGTTTTGATGTATAGGAAGGAAAAATATAAGCAGGTGAAACGACATCATTTTGAGTTGGTGGCGAAAAAAGAAAAAAAAAGAGCAACTAGAGGCATCACGCCTCTACTGAAGAAGGAGGAGAAAGGCCCATATGGGCTCTCCTCTCTCTGACTATAAAAATAGAGAGAAAGCGAGCCAAGGAGAGAGAGAGTGGTGCGAAGAAAGAGAAAGAAATCTCTGTAGAGAGAGAGAGAGAGGGAAGAGGAGTCACAATTGCCACCGACTTGCGTGAAGTAGTCTGTGACGGTGCGCGACTTTCGTCGCAATGTGTTAAGGAGTTTAAGCGGCCGAAAATCTACGCAAACAGAAGCTAGAGAGAGAATCGTGCGATGGCGTGCATCCGAATAAGAAGAGATCTGCAGTGGTTGGTCGTGCAATCTCGCATACTCCAGGCTCTTTCCTGCGGGATTTTACCATGTACGTGTCGGATCTACATGTGCAATTCGTTCTGTGATGGGTTCCGGCCGAAGCATGGTGGCACATAAGTGGTTCTTGTTGTGCGTACTAGTTCTGGCAGCAGTCCGTGTGGCGACTGTAACATTCTGACGGTGGCGCATGGTGAACCAATGACACACGTATGGTGGCGTGTGGTGATTCTAGTGACTGGGATCGTACTACATTAAAACTCGATTCTTTTTTTGTATTTTAATTATTTCTATAAGTGTCCGTCATTAATCCCTATGTTTTCTGTTTGTAAACGAGAGAATTACCTGAATAATACTGGATTTAAAGGAGAGCATAGACCTGAGTCAATAAGGAGTCTGACACCTTTTGATTCGACTGTAGGTAAGGAATTGGGTTAGTCTTATTCAGAGACTCCCATATTTTTATGAAACCTTGTTTTCTATTGAAATGACTTATTTAAAGACTTTATAAATTATTCATGTTTTCCACAACGAGTTTTGTGAACTCATCATATTCGCATGTGTACAATTGCATTAATCGCAAATCTATATGATGTTGTGTATGATGTACAATTATGTATTCATATTGTTACTTGTATATTTATGCAGATTTTATGCATGTTAGTTATTGAGTTATACATGTGTGTGATGCATATATATATAAATGTATAATTATAGGTTATGCAACGTGTGTATGTATGAGTGAACAATGTATATGTGTCTGCTTTCGGAATATATATATGTCTTATGAAAATATACAAGTATATTTATGTTGTATATATGCGTAGTCTTTTGGTGTGTGTGACTGTAGTGAACCTTACCCATGGATACGGCTTTAGCCAGACGTGGTGAAACGATAAGAACTGTGAATTAAACTACAACGTATTCACATGGTAGAGATGATGTTTACTGCCCTCATTGATGCCAGCAGAAATGGCATCGCATGGTGAAACTATTTTTAATAAGACATAAATTGATATAAAGGAATAGAAAGTTATGAGTGAAGTTTACGATATTGAAAGACTGAACTAATATCTACTGAACTACTTACCACTTAAATTGTGATACTGAATACTGAATGATGCTATTTATGGTACTATTTATGCCATGAGTTATAATACTGAAAGAAGGAATTCTAAATGTTCATTGAATAAACTGATTTAGAAGATTTAGTGATTGAGTATGTGCGTGTCTTTATTGTGGGAACTGCCCTTTTTTCTTACTGAGTCCGTGAAGCTCACCCTAATTCACACCCCCCAATGCAGATTAGTTCAGGTCAAGAGTAAGTTCAAGATTGAAAGAAGACTTTGAAGAACCTTTAGTGACAGTAAGAGTTCGTGTTGTAAAGTTAGTTTAATTATATTGTAGTGATATAATGTAAAAGATTTTGTAAGGCTCATGACTTGTAATTCCGTATAGGGGATGATCAAATCTTAAATTTTCGTTCACCGTTGCGTAAATTTATCAGGTTATGTGTTTGGAGTAGCGCTCATTTCTCAACGGAGAAAACAAGTCATTATAAAGACTGTCAACACGCTTTCGTCGAATGAAGACAAATTTTTGATATCATTCTAATTGCAAATGAAGTGGTTGACGATCTTAATAGAGACAAAAAGAGGGGGCTATTGTTAAATTGGATATAGAGAAGGCTTTTGATAATGTTAGTTGGGACTTCATAGACTAAATGCTCAATCGTTTTAGTTTCAGTTTAAAATTGTGAAAATCAATTAATACTTGCATCTCCATAACAAGTTTTGCTGTCATGGTCAAGGCGATTCATTATCTCCATTACTCTTCATTATGGTTATAGAAGTATTAAATAAGCTTATTGAGCAAGCAAAAAGTTTGAATCTCATTAGAGGAATTAGAATGAGTAGTGAGGAAAACATTGAGATCACTCATCTATTCTTTGTCGACGACACCCTAAATTTCTGCCAACCCGATGTTAATATGTTGCTTAATCTTAGATGTATTCTTCTCTATTTTTAAGTTGTTTTGGGGTTCAAGATCAACATGTCAAAATCTGAGATGGTGGGTTTTGGGATTAATAACATTATGGATCCTCTTGCTTTGGTTTAAAGTGCAAATCAGTAACACTTCCCATCAAATGCTTTGGGCTCCCTCTTGGAGTGAAATATAAAGATCCAAAAAGTTGGGAGCCAATAATTGATATTTTTGATAAATATCTTGCTGGTTGGAAAAGAAATTATTTGTCTATGGGAGGGAGATTAACTTTGATCAAGAGCACATTATCAAACCTTCTAACTTACTATCTTTCCATCCTCACCATCCCTATAGAGGTTGCTAAAATTCTTGAAAGTACACAATGCATATTCTTATAGGGAGATGAGGAAAATAAGAAAAATTTCATCTCGTAAATTTGGAAGAGGTGAAAACTCCCATCAGTTCTGGTGACATTAGTTTGAGATCCTTAAAGACTTTAAATAAAGTCTTAAATGGTAAATGGGTGTGGAGATATTGGAATAAATTAAACAATTTGTGAAAAAAAGTTGTTGACTGCCAATGGAACATGAAGGGATGCCTAAATCAGAATTTGATAAACCATAATAACTATGGTGTGAGTCTTTTGAAGAGTATCTCTAAAGTGGGCAATGAAGTTAGGCACTACTCTAAATGGGAGGTGGGCAATGATAAAAAAAATCAAATTCTGGTCAGATATTTTGTAAAGGCCCTGAACCTTAAAGAAAATGAATTTATAATTTAAATGAGGAAGCGAATAATAATATTAGGATTTACATTTCTCACGTAATAAATTAGAATGCCCAATAGGACTACGAGAATGTCTCTATTATAGTGGCTCGTAAAAAGAAGCAAATAAATGATTTAAAACAAATAGATAAATATCCTATGGTTAATCTCTACTAGTTCTTGAAGGAGTTCAGGAGGTAAACTGCTTACCACCTTCTTACTGATTAAGATATGGATCCTAGTCCTCTTTATATAAAATGGTTAATAGAAGGATGAGCTACACTAACCCAATAAGAATATTACGTTAATCACTAGTACATAAAATAAAGGTTGGTAAAAATCACAAAATAACTAATGAACCCCTTAATATAAGTAAATTCACTTAATATCAAAATGTTATTTTCACACTTATCATTATGAGTTTTTCAAAACAAGACTATAAGACAAACACCCATATAACATTTATAATTTTATATACAAGTGAGTAAAGTCTGTCATTCTCCACTTTTACCTGCTTACTAGAACTCCTAAGGGTCCATAGGAATATCTCTCTACTTGTGAACCCAATATCTGAATTTCTCAATTTACCCGACTGTCCCCATACCTCGTCCAGAAATAGGTGCCAAATACACCATCGTCTCGATACTCCGTCTAGTATAAAGGTGAACCATATCTCCCAACCCTTCTGGTATGGGATCTCTCAGCCATTTCCGGCTGAGGTATTATCCACGGTAGGTTTTTCCTTATGTACCGGGTCTGTCCACCCTTTTTTAGGGTACCCAGTAAGTCTTTTATATATAGATCCCCATCAATAAGCAATTACTAATGGCCTACTAACATCTCATTTTATATTCACATATCAATCAAATGATATTTAAGCAAACAGTATATTTTTATATTTTAACAATTAAGAAAAGTAATTAGAGCATTTATTTCAAATCAGTTAATTAAATAAGAATTACAATCAGACAATTAATAATGAGAAAATAATTAAATGTGATAATTGAATTACATAACGGAACAATAATCAATTTAGGTAGTATAGGAAAATAAATAGTCACATAGACGAGCTTAGGGTAATTGTATACTGACCAGTTTTCTAGCTCCACTAGTGACCTATAATTATTATTAAGGTTTTTTTAGTTTTTACAAAATACAAGATCACCGATTTATTAAGCCTCTATTTACTATAACATCGAATAGAGTGAGGGATTCTTACATGAATTGGTATTTCGAAATGTTGCGCTATCTATTACGCCTTCTAATTGGTCTTGAGTTTCCTGAATTTTTCTACAAAAATCTAAAATACTCGTCACGCAACTAAAAATATCTCAAAAACTCGAAATCGGTGTCGAAAATCCTTTCTGGTCAATTTTAAGGTTCCGGCACGGCGGCACTCCTGTGCTTCAGTGTCGACTTTGCAACTCACAAAGACAGTTTATCTCGGCCTAGCTGATTTTGGCCGGTTTTACACATATCCCTGCAAAAAAAATATTAGGGTGCCTTGGTTGACCAGAAAATCACAAAAAATCGAACCTACCAGCGGGGGAGTCTCCAGGTGTGGCGGCTCCACCGGTTCCCCTTCGTGGTTAGGGTTTTTTCTTCGGTTAACCTACAAAGAAAATGACGATGAACATAATGGTCAGAAAATTTTATAAAACGGAAAATGGGAAGGAGCTCATTGGAGGAGTTTTAAGGTTTCAGCCTGCGGCGGCTCCGCCAGGCTTTGTCCGCGATTTTCGGCTTACCCGCAGTTTCTTTTGCTCTAATATGGCCATGGGAGACTCAGAATCGAATTCCAAGCAGGTATGGGAGAATTTTATCTTTTCTGGTGATCGGGGGTCAGTCTCCTTCTTCGGTGACTGGTCCTTCTTCTTCGGCGAGGGCAGGGCAGCTAGGATTAGGGTTTCCCTACGACGCGATGTTTATATAGTCACCCTGCATCGATCTAGACTGTCCATTCGTATCGATGTGGAGTGAGGAGAGTCATTTGATTGTTGTTTGTTTAGGCCGATTATGTGGGCGAATCTGAACTATTTATCGCGATTGATCTCGTTCGTCTGATCGCACCTAAGGAGGGAATGTATCTGAGTCGTTCACGCGTGCTGGATCGAATCTGAGCCGTCAGATCGCTGGGCACGCGGATTGCCCATGTGGCCTCTCACATTGCGCCAACGTCAGCATGTTTTGCTATGGGCGTGCTTTGGTTCGTTGAGACTGATAACTGGGCAGTCCCACGTGGTCGAATTTTTTATTTTTGTATTTTGACCCCCTATTTTTAATTTTTCTTTCAAAAACATCCTCTAAACTCAAATTTTTACATATTTTCTCCAAAATTATTTTCATTTATGTCACAAATCTATTTTTCTCAAATAATTTAATAAAATAAAATCAAAACAATAGTTTTAATTATTTTTATAACATGAAAATTGATTCCGAGTTAAATTTCAGCTCAGACATTACATATTTGGTGTGGAAACATTAATTTGCAATCCTGTTTTGCCCGAAATGAGCATCGAGCAAACGTTTAATAACAACATTGGCAGGAGCTAGAATCTTGCATTGCACAGAAATTTGAATGATTGGAAACTTGAGGAGTTCGAAAATTTGATGACTTTGCTAACATCTATAAGAACTAGTAATAGAGAAGACAAGCAGATGTGGACTTTAAATAAAAGTGGATTATTTAGCATCAAATCTTTCTATAACAACATTGTTGGCCAAAATAGCAAGATCAAGTAGGTGTACCCAGTAAAAATGGTATGGAAGGCAAATGCATCTCCTAAAATCTCTTTTTTCTTTTTGCTTGGGAAGCTTCCAAAAATTGTATACTTACCATAGATATTCTCATGAAAAGAGACATTATCTTAACAAAGATATGCTACTTGTGCAAGAATAATTTAGAATCCTGTAACCATCTATTGCTTTGGTGCCCCAACACTTATTCTCTATGGTCTATGGTTTACTTGGCATTTGTTGGGTCATGGCTGGAATTGTTAAAGACGAATTGCTTGCATAGAAATGATAAGTAGAAAGAACAAAAAATTCAAACTCATCCCTTTTAACATTTTCTGGATTATTTGGAAGAAAATGAACAATAGAGTTTTTTAAAAGAAAAAAGACAACTTTAGCAATATTTTGAACAAATGGTTCCATAATACTAGGACATAGTATCACTCATTATGATAATTTAGGGTCAATTGTAAATATGTTACTTGACTTGTAAATTTTTTTGTATATGGGTTGGCGCTTTCTTGGCGCTGTATTGTATTTCAATATATTTCTATATTTTGATCTCAAAAAATTATTTTATATTATGAATATAATTTATTTAATATACTATATCATATTTAAA